GATTTTAAGCTGTTTTTTTTTTTTTTACACTTCTTGCCTATATCTACTGCTTGCTAGTACTACTGCTTGCTTGCTAGCAGTAGATATAAGCAAAAAAAAAAACAGAGGGTTTAGAACCCCTTTAAGGTGCCCATACACCTTACAATTATCTGCAGATTTTCTGTGGTCAGATGGAAAAAGTGCAACAGATTGGATGGAGTAATCTCCACCTGGGCCAAACAGTTAAGTGTAGATGGAAGAATCTGTTCCACCTTTTCCATCTGACCACAGGAAATCTGCAGATAATTGTAAGGTGTATGGCCAGCTTTACCCTCCTGACAGCAGGTAAGGAAACTTTTATACTACGGCTGCCTGTTGATCTTCTCTTATTGGTGTATTGTCACAGTGCAAATCAAATGCAATAGAGAATGGCGAACGGCTATAGAGGACTACAAATCTCAGCAATCCATGATTACTGGTTGCCATTCTCCATTGCTGTATAATCATGGATTGATGGATCTGCAGTCTGGTTGGCATTTTTCATTGCTGGATAGTCATGGTTTGACTTGCAATTCTTCATGATTATAACGAAACTGCTTTATCCCTATCATACACTATAAAATGCCATGAAATATAATGCAGTTATATAAATAAAAGATTTAAAAAGCAATTTTAACTCTGAACTAATATCGTTTAAATCAGATCCCTGTAGTAAACTAACTCTGCAAAGCAAATCCTGACATGTCAAATACTACCAACCTCTGTATGTGGGATATACTTGTGCAGCAGCACTAAAAGGGTTAAACATGAGACAAGGGAGCGGTCTTGAATCTGAAATTCTCATTCTCAGAAATGCTGCCCTTGCAAATGCACTGCTAGGAAAGTGTAAAAAGCAAGCCGAAGAAGAATGTTACAATGTTTATTTTAAATCTAAATTTAATACAACACATTTACTGGCTTTCAATCTGTGACTTGATTCATAAGGCTTCCATGGAAAAATGTTGTTAGGTAGGGAACATTTCATCTAAAAGAATAAAGTAGTAAATCTAAGATGTGACAGCTCTTAGATGGGAAGAAATGAAAGGCTGAATGCACAGTCTCTGAAGTCACTGTTAGCATGAAAGCAGTAAAGTTAATTTACTCTTCCAGACATTATCTAAAACGGTTTTACACAAGAACACCTCAATTTGTAAATATATTATATTGACATTCATGTTAGAAAGTTCCTGTCCCAAAATGTGATTACATTGAAAAGCTCATGATTTTATACAGTCATCATTTGTGCACAATTAAACACTTATATGGTGATCTGTCAAGGTAAGCATCTAGAAAAAGGCAGTTTCCTCTCTTTAAGGCAGCGGTTCTCAACCTGTGGGTCGGGACCGCTTCGGGGGTCGAATGACAATTTGCCAGGGGTCGCCGGGAGTCTCCCACTATTAGATAGCAGCTCCCGGCCGCCCAGGAGAGAAACACTTTCTCCCGGAAAGGTTTACTCTGCCCGATCGAGCAGAGTAAACCTTTCGCTGCAATCTTTTTTTTTTTTGACATCTGAGCCCCGGCAGTTGTAAGTCAGAAAAAAATAAATCAGCATTGGAATGCATAGCTACATTCCTATTGGCTATTTCACTTTGCAATAGCAAACTAGCTATTGCACCCGCCCACTTCTGCTGTCAATCAGCAGAGTGGGACCTGCAGTTCTCCATCAGGTCTCCATCTAGTGATTATCATCATTATTATTAATAATAAAAGCTGACACCCTCGGCTTGTGTTATATGGTTTGCCATTTTAGCTCTTACATTGTAGGGCTTGTTCACACCATCTCCAGGGCAGATCTGGATGTGTTTCTGCAAAACAGTGCCATGTGCGGTTAAGATGCGGTCTTGATGCTTTCCGGTGCCTTTTTTTTTTTTTAGTCTCAATTGGTGCATTTCCTTGCGATCTGGTGCATTTGCATGCATTTACATAAATTTGTGTGTTCCACACCAGAAAAAATGTCACGTGCTAGACTTTTTTGGAAAGCTCTGGAACTGAACGCAATGGTGTGAACAGCACTCAGGAAAACCACCGGAATCTATGGGGATGTGTTTTTGGACCAGACCAAAAATTTTCTGGTCTGGAGATGGTGTGAACAAGCCCTTAGACAGTATACCTTACATTGCTACACATTCTGCCAATTGGTCGTAACTGTGCTTCCAATTGGTGGTAGCTGTGGTTACCAGTAACCTAGCTGCCTTAGCACCAGCCAATGAGAAAGCCGGAACACACCAGAGACCAAATAAACTTGCACGAGCTGTCCTCATGTACCCAAGTACTAGTTCTTATGTAGTAGTTGTGAGACTTCCATTACATTCAGAGTAAAGTCCATGAACCCATCGCACTCGAAACCGCTGTTCCAAAGTAATAAAGATGGGTGCTGCGGCTGTCGGCGGCTGGCCACCGTGATATTTAGCCAGTAGGATATATAGAGACACGGGGTCTCACAGGATCTTGTTCTGCCTGATGAAGGGGATCCTGTGAGACCCCGAAACGTTGCATTGAGTGCATCACGTAATGCTGCTCGTTTGTCAATAAACAGACGTATTTGACTTACTATTTGGAGCGCCGGTGTCTCTATATATGAAGTCTTCAACTGACTTATTACCATGATAAAACCATTAAGGTTTGCACAAGATAAGTCATGCTGCTTTTATATGATGTTTCATGATATTTTAAGGCATGCACAGGCTAAATATAATACGCAACCTAATTTGAATTTGTTGATAACCTGCCCATTTGTGCAGAAAAAGAATTCTAGATGCCTATTGATTGGCAAAAGCATAGCTTAGATTAAACCAAAAAAATGAAACCTGTGATGACAGATACGTGGGAGCCGCCTTTCCTGTCTTTTATATAAATAACTCCAGGGAGAAACAGTTATAAATAATCTGTCCCCTTAACAATAAGAATATTGTTAAGGCAACAGTATATTTATAAATGCTTCTTCCTGGGGTTATTTATCTTGAAGACAGCAGAGGTGGTTCCCATATTTTCTGCAATTGTAGCAAAATAACGCTCTTGGCTTGTAAACATTTAGAGAAAGATTTAAAAAGCAGCTCTATGACTGTACCAAATGCATGTTACAGCAGTACACTGTGTGTGTTGCAGTGGGTTAACAAAGTGCAGTCCAACGCACATCTACAGTGCGCTGCAACACAATGCTATAGCATGCTAATGCTTTGTGCATTGCGTATTAAAAAACTGTCCAGAAATCATGCCATCCAATGAACTCTCTACAGTATCTCAACCCAAGTTTAGCGATTGCTGTAATGACTGTGCTATGGAAAACACCATCGAAAGTTGCAAAGCATTACCAGCACACCCTCAGCCAAGAAGGGAATTGTTTACCGTCACAGGCTCATAGTGCAACATTTCCTAAAAGCACCACTTCATAAAGCCAAAATGTAATTTTGTGCATTGCGGTGCACAACATTGTGGTGTGAATGGGCCCATACTATTTCGAGGTCTACATGATTATGATCATTCCTGAGATCCAGTTTGTGTGCTTTTTGTGTTTGTTTAAGCTTTTTAAACAGGAACCACGACTCGTGTGGACAACTAATTATTCTGTTTGCCTTGGTTTCAGTGAAACTAATTTGCTTATTGAGAGCTTAGGCAGATATAGACTTAAGCAAATATAGAAGCCCAACCATGTGTAGTATGTAGCACTGGTTTTCAACCAATTGTTTCTGTACATATTAGGGATATATATGACTCTTCAGATATACTAAATGTCACACTCCAAAACAACTAAATCCACTCTTATAAGAGAGAAGTCATACCTGAATTTGCATGTGTCTATCTAGTCCTGAGATTTACACGGCCATGCCAAACAGCACAGTGACCCGATTTATCGCTGCTGCAGTTAAGAAAAACATTTAGGTCATATCACGGTCTCCAGACTGACTGGACAGTGAATGAGCAGCAACAGACTCATGAGTTTATCTCTTTGTATATGTTTTCCTGTTGGATCCTTGTCAGCACATTTACATGCAGGACACCTGACTGGCCCCAAGTCCTTCCCCTCCTCTCACAGTTTGGGTGCTGCTGTACAGAGCATTACAAAATACTAAAATCAAGTCACAAATATGTATTTATACTCATTGCATTCACAATACATTACATTTTTGAAATATATAACTGCATTATTGGTGTTTGTTTTTTTACATGTGCCTGAAATTCACCTTTATAGTGGCATGAATGTTGCACCTAGTAGTCAAATATAGCAGATTCACTTAGACTTGGAGACTAGCTGCTCAGACACAGAGTGCTACACTATGGCAAGGCACTGAGATTGTCCAGAGTTCGCCCATATCCAGATGTAGTAATTATGCAAAAGGGAAGTGTGGGGAAAGTACTTACTTCTCATGGCCACACCTGTAAAGGGAATCTGTTTTGGTTAGCAAATAATACATCTTATATGGAATACATTGGTATAAGCATCATTTATAAATTTGCAAGCTTAAAAGGTTTGTTTAGAAACATATATACACATTTGGGCTGTTTTGGACAATAGTTAGCTACTGATGAATAGCTACTTTCTCCGATTTCCCTATTTGTAGAAGATTTGTTGTTATAGAGGAAACCGAAATAATAAAACATTTAGAAATGTTGGTTTATAGTATTTCCCCCCTGCTCTGTGCGCCCATGAGCTACAGCAGAGGTAGGCAAACTCGGGCCCTCCTGGCATGGTGAAAACAGACTCCCAAAGGCAGATGCATGATGGAACTTGTAGTTTCCCCACAGCTAACTGCAGGACCACACTGTGCCATAATCGGAAGTGATGTTCTGGTACCCATAGTTCCTGTTAAGCCAGACAGGAACATAAAGCAGTTAAATGACCCAGCCCAAAAATGTACGGTAATTCTGACAAAAAAAAAAAAAACGTGGAAACTGACAGATTGCTGACATAGTGCTATGTTTACACTACATTTTTTTAACCAAAAAGTAGACTTCGGTTTAAAAAACATTTTCCTTTCACTTACCTCTTCTATTTCTTTTGTCTTTGCCCCAATGGCTTTTGACCGGCTGCTAACTGGACTTGATTCGTAGAGTTCAGAATTCACAGGCACATTAGCTTCCAAGTCTGCCGATTGATCCCCGAATAATGCAGAGGACGATCCTGCCTTAGGGAACAAGGTAGCTATATGAGCACTTATATTATAGAGAGCATAACTTCAGCACCTACAGTGTAGAAATCTTTATTGGCAATATTCAAAACCTTGATTAAACCTTTTGCAGTATGACAAATCCAGGATGAATTTGAAATACATTTAAGGACATATGCAAAGTGTTACTCCAACTTGTAGTTCTGATGCTGCACGTAGTCGGGGTTACTTCTACAGAAAAAGTCAAATTATTGGGTTCTGGGGTTTCCAGTAAAAGGGTACTATTAAAGCTACACCATACAGTATAAAAAAAAAGACAATTTTAGACAGTTGTGCACTTCTAGCCTTGTTACAAGAGTTTGGAGAAGGCCCTTTTCTGTGCTCGGTGCATGAAGACATTGAGGGGAATTTATCAAAACTGAAGCAGACAAAAACTGGAGCAGCTGTGCATGGTAACCAATCAGCTTCTTTGTTTTCATTTTCAAATCTTAAAGTGACATTAAAGTAAAAAATTTTTTCTCTCCCCCCCAATGTTAATGTTAGCACTTCCCTTAAATGATGTCTCTTAATCCGATCATCTTCTTTCCTGATGTTTTCATCTGTCCCTCCAGCGGTGCGGCAGCTCTCCGATCCAGCGCCGACTCCTCTGTCCTTGCTGGTACTTCCTGTCCCACGGTGTCTGCATGCGGATGCACGTGTCCATAGACTTGCCTTGCGTCTCTCCACGTCTTCTGGCCGAAAATCCGAACTGTGCATGCACCCGCCCCAAGATGCTTTGCGGCCGCCCAAGCAGTTTTGGATTTTCTGTCGGGAGCGCGCGGCGAACACGGGGTAAGTTTGAACCGCTTTTGTTTTTTTTTAGTAAACCTTTTGCATATATCTACTGTTTGCTAGCAGTAGATATATGCAAAAAAAATGGAGGCTTTAGAAACCCTTTAACTAAACAATTTGAAGAGAGAGGCTGATTGGTTGCCATGTAGAGCTGCTCCACATTTTGTCTGCTCCAGTTTTGATGAATTCCCCTCATGGTTTTATGTCTGGAGGAACTTAACTGGCCTGCACAATGTTGAATGAATTGGAATGCCAATTGCAAGCCAGCTCTTCTCATCCAACATCCATACCTGATATTACACATGCTTTTTTGGCTGCATGGGGACAAATTCCCACAGACACACACGAAATCCTTTCCAGAAGAGTGAAGGCTGTTGTAGCTACAAAAAGGGGGAAAACTACGATAGACCGGCGGGAGGTAGAGGACTTACGAATGAAATGTCCAAGCTTATTTAGGTGTAGTGGCCTTAAAACCTTAGTATTGCATACTGGATGGCTTCCTCGTGTTTGCTATATATGTAGCCCTGGCATAGATATGAAATATCACTAAGCCTCTGGCAACCATTTATCTCCTACCAATAAATGTAAAATGTCCTACATTTATAATAAGCAGAGCAGAACTATGCAGCTACAGTGAAAAGAGGTGACAGATTATTGCTTCACAGACAAAGCATTTAGGTTTGAAACCATTTTCCCGAAAAGAATTTATATAACCTTTAACATCTTGCACACTTAAATTAAAATCACTAGAAAATCATTGAACGATATGTACTTTTACAAAGTCTTCTGTGGCTTCAGGTACATTGCTTTCTGACACTTTCTCCATTTTCTCAGAAACCCATTTGCAGGCAGCTTCCACGAAAGCAATCTCTGACAGACGACTTCCTTTATCTTGGTCTACACTCTGTAAAACGCAAACCAAATAGTTTATGAAGTGTGTGATAGATGTGTTCCTATTTGTAACCGATCACCTGTTAACATCTGTTTGGCATATGCTGAGAGATGTTTATGTGTCTGACCTAGGTCCTGGAGCGATACAGGTGGACTCAACAGGAAGCCAAAATATAGTCAGCTGATAACCACAATCAGCATAGTTATTCAAATATGAAAATGTTATTTCGATAATGACTGAGAAACAAGAGAAAGACAGCTAAAGTGCATTCTTAACATTGAGTGTAAAAAGTGCACAAAGTAAACTTAGGGCTACATTTACACTAAGTGTGGCAGGAGTCCCACATCTTCCATTTTGATGCGGCCGCTGTCACCCCTTCAAGTTAATGATTGAGTGACAACAGCCGCATCTGTACGCAGCAACCCGCATGTAACTGAATGTGATACGATTACATACAGTTTGGAATAGATCACTGTCCCTTGATGCACAATAGAGGAGTCCAGGGACAGTGAACTATTCCAAACCGCATATATTTGGGCTTCCTGCCGAAAGCATCACAAACCCCATAGTGTGAATGGAGCCTTAGATGTTTTAGGAGACGTGTAATTCTGCACTTAAAGGGAGACACCATACTAATCTAAAGCCAAATGAAAATATATTGAATAGAAGAGAAGTATATTCAAATTGCAACTGAAGCCATTTTTTATCACTGCCTGTGTCCCCATTAAGGAGATCACCCTCTCTATTTGTCCTGGTGACAGTTATTAGTGAAAGAAAATGTCACTAGAAGAGGAATAGATTGGAAATCTGCCAGGGGCACACTAGTTCTGGTGTCACTGCTGACCACCGATGATTACCCCTTTTTTTTAGATTTTCCTCTCACTTCCAGTTGTGGCCATCAGACAGGAAGTGAAGGCAAATCTCCCCAATAAGTAACAGACGGAAGACATTTTTTTTTTAAAAAGCTAAGAGGTTATAACTAGGGATGCACCGATACCGGTTTTTCAATATCAAGTACAGATATTTATCTTTCTGTACTCGCTGATACCGAGTACCGATACCGGTACTTCCGCTAGCATGGAGCCAGCTTCCCGGGCATCAGGAAACCAGGCTGCGTGTAATTACCCACCGCCTGGCTTCTTAATTGCCTGGGAAGACAGCTCTTAGCTGTTTGCCCAGCTCGATGCTGATTGGCCGTGAAGCCCACTTCCCAGCCAATAAGCATGAAGCCGGCTAAACAGCATAGAGCCAGCTTCCCAGCCAATCTGGAAGCTTGGTCATTACTGGCTGTCCAGATTCCTGATTGCCGGGAAGCCGGCTTCATGATCCCTCGTGGCACAGCCGTTCAGAAGAAATCTCCCTTTGACCAGAACTTCTGGTGTCGGAGGTAAATATCGGAGCATTTGGGCGAGTACGAGTACTCGCCCAAATACTCGGTATGGGCACTGATACCTATACTAGTATCGGTATATCCCTAGTTATAACTCTCCTTTACTCGATCCAAAACTTGCCTTCAGTTCTACTTCTATCTATTGTATTTGATTTTGTGGAGTGCTGTTGTGGAGGCATCGCAAGACTGAGCCACATAACTCCCAGTGTCAGAGGCATGATGGGGTTTGTAATTACACCACAGCTGAAGTACCAAGGTTGCATACCACTGGTGTACCATGCAACAAATATCAAAAGTGTTCTGAGATACAATTAACCTAAAGCCAGTGACACGAACACTACTAAGAACAAAAAGCCACAAAAAGATTTTGAAACTTTTGTAAGACCTCTAAAAACATAGAGTGTGGAGAATAAAAAGAAACTTAATGCATGAGATCATCACTCTGATGAAGGGGCAGGAAGCCATGACGTGTGCCTCAAGTGGATCGGAAGGCAAACATCTACATTCATAGCTGAAATATGTAAGTGTGGATTGTTTCACCTGCCAAAAATGTCTAACCTTGTGCAGCTAGTTTTCTAATCCAGACATCCATGTAAGAAAGCACTGCTAGAATCTCCCCCAACTTTTTGCTCCTGCAGTTAAAGAAAAATGGATTGGTCAAGGACCATCCCAACCTGTGGATTGGGTAATGAAGTGGCCGTAACACACTGATGGGGTTAACCCTCTGCTTTCTACTCCTAATACCCAGCTCCCTGAACACTGAAAATGAGTAAAGCCTGATTGGTTGGCAGAGCAGCCACTTCCTCTTCCAGTCACGATTTGCAGGAAACTACAGGTGGCCAATAGGAAGACCAAACGGGGTACCATGTAAGAATACATTTTTAGGATGTGTATAGTAACCAAGTATACAGTAAAAACATGAAATTATACAATTCAGAATATAAGTTCCTTACATGTTTAAAAAAATGTTGTCGCTACTGAAGCACCACTGAGCATGTTAAAGAATAAAAGGTGACAGTTGTAATCACCAATCATATTACTGTTACATTTGATGGTCATCCTGTACATATGGTAAAAAAATGCAAAAATACAATACCCAAAATTGGCCTTAGGCGACACTTTAAAAGCTTTTACTGCTCAGCTTAGTGTTAACAGTGATGAATGACCCTAGAATTATTGCCCCCACTCCGACGTTTGCGGTGATATGTAACATGTCATCACTTTCGCACATGGGCACACCCAATGCATGTTTGCGTTTGTATGTGGGGGCAGGGGGCTTTACATGGTTTTTTTTTATGCGACTAATTTTTTGTTTCCACTTAACTTTATTGCTAAACACATAGGTGGAAAAGAAGCCCCCTATGTGATCACCAATTTACAGAGATAGGTCCTCTTTATGGAGACATCTTTAAGACCACTAATGTCACATAGGGACCTCCAGAGAAGCTGATGAAGCAGAGATCTGCTTCTGTAGCCAGAGAGTGAAAGCTGAATGCCAAAGTGATGTAATATCCATCACTTCCTGCATTCAGAGACCAGAGAGGAGATCAGAGGGAGAGCATGTGCTAATTTTCCCTCTGATTCTGATCTCCGGTCACAGAGGCGCTGTGCCAGTCCGGGGCAAGGGGCACAACGGAGCCCAGGATCGGTGGTGGCGGGGGGTGCACGGAGCAGCACAAAATACAAGCGATCGGGTGGCTCTACAGCCGCCGAAACGCTTGTATGTAGACAGGCATCAACGGCTATTTACAATTCAAGCAATTTTCCCAGGCATTTAAAAACGTCCACCAGCATCCCAGAAGCCACAGTCTGGCCCTTTAATTAGAGTCAGTTATGCAATACAAGTTATATATTAATGAAATCATTATTTTTAAACAAAACATTTAAATAGCAAAATTGGCTCTCATACTACAGATGGACAGTTGTCCGGGCAAATCAAGCACTGCTGCATGTACATGTGCTGAGAAAGGAAAATGCTAAGAGACGTAGGAAGGAGAGAGAGGAGCTCATCAGTCTGCTGCTGCTCATTCATTGTCCAGTCACAGGCAGTGGACAGGGAGGTGACAAAGCTGTACTGCTATATATATATAGAGAGAGAGAGAGAGAGAGAGAGATATAGAGAGAGAGAGAGAGAGAGATATAGAGAGAGAGAGATATAGAGAGAGAGAGATATAGAGAGAGAGAGATATAGAGAGAGAGAGATATAGAGAGAGAGAGATATAGAGAGAGAGAGATATAGAGAGAGAGAGATATAGAGAGAGAGAGATATAGAGAGAGAGAGATATAGAGAGAGAGAGATATAGAGAGAGAGAGATATAGAGAGAGAGAGATATAGAGAGAGAGAGATATAGAGAGAGAGAGATATAGAGAGAGAGAGATATAGAGAGAGAGAGATATAGAGAGAGAGAGATATAGAGAGAGAGAGATATAGAGAGAGAGAGATATAGAGAGAGAGAGATA